TTTGTGACAAAATGCAGCAGCAGTTTTAGAGCTAATTGAACAGAGAATTTGAAAATTTGAAAGGAAATTTATTACTTGATTTTATCTGAAGCAAAATATCCTATTATTAACCATAAAGAATTTGTTACACTGATCTAACAGTGGATTATTGTTAATGACATGAAAAATTGCCGGTGTTATCCCTTTGTTACAAGTCATTTTCAACACGTAACACAGACTACAAGCTAAAAATGTTTTAAAGAATCAATTTGAAGACATGACTCAACTGTTTCTACGATCAACTTCAATAAATAGCAACAACAACCCCGAAAGAACACCAACTCTGATATCCTTCTTGTTACAATTAGTGATCATTGAAGACATGTACAAATATACTTTGGTCTTCGTAAATCATGCATAAAGTAAAGACATGAGGAGACTGCAGGACACAATGGCTCTGCTACAATGACAAACAAATAATGGAAGGTATTGACATATTTCAGTCCTTCCTTTGTCAAGATATATATAAATAATAAATGCCTTAAAGACTCTAGTTACTTCTTTCACCATCACTAACCTATGTGTACTTTATCCTATTAATCAGATTGTCACTGTTGAGAACAAAAATCAATAACAAGCTCAAGTGAATAATACAGGTTTCTGCAACGACCAATTCCTTCAGCTGTATATTCAGAGATTAAATTGTTGATGTTGGTGTCAGGTAGTTTTTGATAAAATAAATTGAGTTTTTCTCTTATTAGAAAAATCTTGTTCTATTCAAGTCTACAATTACTCAAATGCCTTGCATGTATAACAGCATTTAAATGTGGAATTTTTATGGACAGCAACTTCTTTAGACATGTACCACTTTGGTGAAACCAACAAGCATAAGCATGGTCCTGACAAACCAAGAAACATAACCAGGACAAATCAGGATTCAATCCAAGGTTCATAGGTTCCTGGCATGTCTAAGGAACACAACTCTGCACTTTGAATTGTGGCATCTTTAGAGTGGGTGAGTGTGCTTTTACGCTGCCTCAAGCAATATTCCAGCAACAGCCAGCAGCGGACACCAGAAATGGGCTTCACACATTGTACTCATGTCTTCAGAGTGACTAGCGAACGATTTAACCACTAGGCTACCCCACAGCCAGTTTCGCCTTAGAGCCTCTGTCTGTGCCACTTGTATCCCCTAAAGGGAAGCAGTAGGTGATGAAAAAGAAAACTTTGTGCAAATATTATCTGACATGTTATTACACTGAAGACTGATAGTCAGTATTCATGGACATATTCTTGGTACCCCTACTTGACCATTAAAACCCAATTACAAAATTCAATATGGAGACCATATGTTTGGAGCTGTGGGGGTTCCTGGTCAGAACATTTTGTCATTTGCCCAAATCTATGTTACATGACTTCTGTGACTTTTGTTTGGATATTTGTGTAGATCAATTCACAAATACGCCAACAATCGGGCTTCCTGTTAATGACTGTTTGTGCAGTCCAAGCAATGAAATAGCTCCTCATGTGAACTGTTGACCTAATGGATGACCAGGTTGCCATCCTACACACGGTAGTCATCATGTGTTCAGGGACTTCATAACAGTACTTGGAACAAACATGATTCGTCAGCAAAAGGAGCACAGGTCAAACTGAATAGGACACTAGATTTGCCAATCCCAGGTTAGTCAATGTGACATTTGAAATCACCTCGTTTACCTTATGCATGAATCCATTTCTTCTTGGCTTAACATTTCTGTTAATGTTGAAAGGCTGTCTCCTGTTTCGTATGTGATGATGATAATACAAGTATTCATGGCATTCTGTAAGTCACAGATGATGACCATACAAGCATTCACTGCAAGTGATGATGATCATACAAGCATTCACTGCCAGTGATGATGATCATACAAACATCTACTGCAAGTGATGATGATCATACAAACATTCACTAAAGGTGATGATGATCATACAAACATTCACTAAAAGTGATGATCATACAAGCATTCACTAAAAGTGATGATCATACAAGCATTCACTGCAAGTGATGATGATCATACAAGCCTTCACTGCAAGTGGTGATGATCATACAAGCATTCACTGCAAGTGGTGATGATCATACAAGCATTCACTGCAAGTGATGATGATCATACAAGCCTTCACTGCAAGTGGTGATGATCATACAAGCATTCACTGCAAGTGGTGATGATCATACAAGCATTCACTGCAAGTGATGATGATCATACAAGCATTCACTGCAAGTGATGATGATCATACAAGCATTCACTGCAAGTGATGATGATCATACAAGCAATCACTACAAGTGATGATGATCATACAAGCCTTCCCTGCAAGTGATGATGATCATACAAGCCTTCCCTGCAAGTGATGATGATCATACAAGCCTTCACTGCAAGTGATGATGATCATACAAGCATTCACTGCAAGTGATGATGATCATACAAGCCTTCACTGCAAGTGGTGATGATCATACAAGCATTCACTGCAAGTGGTGATGATCATACAAGCATTCACTGCAAGTGATGATGATCATACAAGCATTCACTGCAAGTGATGATGATCATACAAGCATTCACTGCAAGTGATGATGATCATACAAGCATTCACTGCAAGTGATGATGATCATACAAGCATTCACTGCAAGTGATGATGATCATACAAGCAATCACTACAAGTGATGATGATCATACAAGCCTTCCCTGCAAGTGATGATGATCATACAAGCCTTCCCTGCAAGTGATGATGATCATACAAGCCTTCACTGCAAGTGATGATGATCATACAAGCCTTCACTACAAGTGATGATGATCATACAAGCCTTCCCTGCAAGTGATGATGATCATACAAGCATTCACTGCAAGTGATGATGATCATACAAGCATTCACTGCAAGTGATGATGATCATACAAGCCTTCACTACAAGTGATGATGATCATACAAGCATTCACTGCAAGTGATGATGATCATACAAGCATTCACTGCAAGTGATGATGATCATACAAGCCTTCACTACAAGTGATGATGATCATACAAGCCTTCCCTGCAAGTGATGATGATCATACAAGCATTCACTGCAAGTGATGATGATCATACAAGCATTCACTGCAAGTGATGATGATCATACAAGCCTTCACTGCAAGTGATGATGATCATACAAGCATTCATTGCAAGTATTGATGATCATACAAGCCTTCCCTGCAAGTGATGATGATCATACAAGCCTTCCCTGCAAGTGATGATGATCATACAAGCATTCACTGCAAGTGATGATGATCATACAAGCATTCACTGCAAGTGATGATGATCATACAAGCATTCACTGCAAGTGATGATCATACAAGCCTTCCCTGCAAGTGATGATGATCATACAAGCATTCACTGCAAGTGATGATCATACAAGCCTTCACTGCAAGTGATGATGATCATACAAGCATTCACTGCAAATGATGATCATACAAGCCTTCACTGCAAGTGATGATGATCATACAAGCATTCACTGCAAGTGATGATGATCATACAAGCCTTCCCTGCAAGTGATGATGATCATACAAGCATTCACTAAAAGTGATAATGATCATACAAGCATTCACTGCAAGTGATGATGATCATACAAGCCTTCACTGCAAGTGGTGATGATCATACAAGCCTTCACTGCAAGTGATGATGATCATACAAGCATTCACTGCAAGTGATGATGATCATACAAGCATTCACTGCAAGTGATGATGATCATACAAGCATTCACTACAAGTGATGATGATCATACAAGCCTTCCCTGCAAGTGATGATGATCATACAAGCATTCACTGCAAGTGATGATGATCATACAAGCATTCACTGCAAGTGATGATGATCATACAAGCCTTCACTACAAGTGATGATGATCATACAAGCATTCACTGCAAGTGATGATGATCATACAAGCCTTCACTACAAGTGATGATGATCATACAAGCCTTCCCTGCAAGTGATGATGATCATACAAGCAATCACTACAAGTGATGATGATCATACAAGCCTTCCCTGCAAGTGATGATGATCATACAAGCCTTCCCTGCAAGTGATGATGATCATACAAGCCTTCACTGCAAGTGATGATGATCATACAAGCATTCATTGCAAGTATTGGTGATCATACAAGAGTGAGTGAGTGAGTGAGTGAGTTTGGTTTAACGCCGCTTTTAACAGTACATGTATTCCAGATCTACACATTAAACAAATTCAACACGTGACAATACATTATCTGATAAATGTATTGCTGAAAGACAATGTGGTGTTTCGAGTTCCGAAGAAATATAGGTCTACATGCAATTAGTTCCCAGTAGAATGTGTCATGTGACCAGTGCATTAACAATTTGCTCTCCGTGATATCTTATGAAAGTAAATAATTCGTGAAACAAATGTAAAAAATCATATCTTGGACAGGACCAGCATAATGGCGTAATTTTAGGCTCAAAGCGTAATTATTATGCAAAACGCATAATGTTGGCATCTCTGATCAATGTGACAACTTTTGAAAAGAGTTGCATTTATTAGATACTTCAACATTTACAACTTGAAAAAAAAAAAAATCAAATAAAAACAATTTAAACCAGGTATCGATTTAGGAACCAAAATACACCTCAATTCCAGTAGGGAAATATTTTAACACCCAAACATAAGCTCTAGAAAAAGACAAATACTACTTCTATGTGTTATAAATATAGAAAAACAACAACAAATTTAAACAAATTGGAGGTCTCAGTGACCTCAGGATCGTGAACATATATTTAACAAACAAAAAGGTTTCTTTTTCAGACTTCTAAAGTTGCTGTTTTTCAAACAACTTTTAAACAAAATGATATCAAAGAGACCAAAAGATAAAGAGGTAAAAATGTGTTTTGAATAAACAACAAAAACCTTTTTTCCAGTTTGAATGCAGTTTTCAAAGTAAATCTTCAACTAGCTTACCATTCACATCCAATGTTTATATGTTAATTTCACTTTTTTTATATTCACAGAATGATTACAAGTCAAGCAGAATCCTTCAGCAATCATGAAGCCACCATTTCTCTGGTGGCTGGGATGTTGGGAGACAACATATGAGGGAAATGTTTCATCAGCAGTAATCATAAGAGCTTTGCAAAGAAGGCGAACATGACCAGGTTATTCAAGCTAATTCACAATACACAGCCACCATTAACTCTGTGACCTTGACATTGGAGAAAGCCACAGGGGTCTTGGCCAGCATTCCTCCAGAGACAAGACTCAAACAATGTGATTTCTATTATAGGAATTGAGCATGCTGAATGGAAGGGTCTCTTGATTGACAATATTTTTAGCTATCTGGCACCAAATGTGTGTGTTTTGATTTTTTGTTGCAAAAGGAACAAGACAGTCTTATTTCTCTGGAGATTTGAATCACATGATGAAAACTTTCATCACATTTTTTTATGAAAAGTTTAATATACTTTTATCAAAATGTGTTGAGAACTGAAAAATGTGTTAACAGGCAAAAGAAATCGTTATCCCAGCTTGTGGGTAAATATGAAAATTGTCACAACACCGCACAAGTCAATCAGAGAGCAAGAGGATGAAAGGTTTAACTGATGCCAAAGGACCCCCCACACCAATATTTTTTTATGCTTTTTAGGGGCTCATTCACATTCCTTCAGTTTTCATCACAGCACTTCATCTAAGAGCAGGTTTTATACTGAAGCTGAGTGTAACCGAAAATAAGTGTGTCCCAGTCAATAATGTGATATCCAGCAATTTTATCACACAGACTGCTGAGTTGCCTGTAATTTTGAGATCTGGACTTTAGAAAAATTGAAGCAACTCATTTCTGCCAAGATTCTACATGGAACATGCTGAGCTCCTGGATAGTGATCAAAACTGACATGTGTTTTGAACATTGAAACTTTTATTCACTTATCACCAATTGAATAACTTCAAAAACTGATCAAGGGTCAAAGAGGAGTGATGAGTATGAAACAATAACAGACAATATTTTAAAATATCAACCTAGCATTATGGAACCCTTGGTTGCTCCTGTGTGTGGCTCCCTACTAATCTTAGTCTGAATAAGCCACTGGTTTCCCACATCAAGATTCAACATGGATATGGAAGATATTCTGTTGAATATGGACTTTGAGAACATGTCCTCAGAGGAGATACAGCAACAGTTTGAGCTGTACTCCAACTTCTCCCAAGACATCAAGCAGACCGACTGGGACATCTTGAAGGACAAGCGCTGGCAGGTTGTGGTCATTATCCTCTATGTTGTGGTCATCGTGTTCGGGTTCCTGGGGAACCTGGTGGTGGTGATAGTGATAGCAAAGTACAAGCAGCTGCATACAGTTACAAACATCTTTATTGCCAACCTGGCTGTGGCAGACATTGCTCTGTGTGTGTTCAACCTTCCCTTTCAGCTTCACTACCAGCTGACAGACACGTGGACATTCGGATCTATTCTGTGTCACATCACCATGCCCACATTTGGAGTGCCTATTTTCGTCTCCTCTCTGTCCATTCTCAGCATAGCTGTTGACCGCTACATCCTCATCGTGTTCCCCTTCACGCAGAGGATGACCAATGCGTTTGCGCTGGGTGTTGTTGTTGTCATTGGTTGTGTAACAACAGGTTTGGCCATACCGCTGATGGTCTACACTCGTGTGGAGATCATTGATGAGCCCTTGTTCAAACTGTATCAAGTGTACTGTGTCGAAAACTGGCCTTCGTACAAGAGTAAACGGGCATACGCTGTCACAGTGTTTGTGCTGCAGTTCTGTATTCCACTGATGTTAACGACCTTCTTCTATACTCATATTTGTGCTGTGTTAAAGAACAGACCCATTAAAAAAAATGAAACCCGACGAAACCAAAGAACAACCAAAATCTTAATCGCTGTGGTTTTAACATTCACTCTGTGCTGGCTTCCATGGAATATATTCAGCCTGACCGCAGAGTTCCATCATAGTGTTGTTCGTGGGAAATATTTCAAACTCATTGATCTGTTACTTAAAATTTTTGCCATGAGTTCCTCATGCATAAACCCATTCCTTTATGGTTGGTTAAATGACAACTTCAGAAAAGAATTAGGGCGAATGGTCGGGCATCAAAATGGATTTGGCCGAGTCAACAATACAAATGGGTATTCCTTAGCTCAACCAACCAAGAAGACAAACCTGCAGCAAAGTCCTCGGATTGAGATGGACCGACACACCACCCCATACTAACAAACGGTTTCAAGTTGGCAAGTGGATATTCATTTTCATTAGTGTTTGCTCAAAAGAAATACAGTGTGTCATTCGTCTTGTCTTTTTCATAAAAAAAGCAAGTTTTCCTGAGTGTGAGGATAGGCACTCCAGTGCAAAATGCTGTCGAAGAGGATGCAGCTTCAGTCTTGTACTTGTTAAGGAGGAATGTGAAAGGTAATTAAAGAGGCAATCTCAAGAACACTTTTGTGGATTATGAACTTGTTGACTTCAGTGTTCATGGAAAATCATTTTCCACAGGAAGTGGACAATTATGGTGACATTCATGTGGAAAAAAGGATTATACAGTTTAACATTTACATGCTCAAAAAATCAAGGAACCTTGTTGAGAACTCTTCATAAGCATGGACAATTCAATAAAGTAAATCTTGCCATTGTAAGTTAATTGGTGACTGCTAACAGGATGATGGTCAGTGTAAGGAATGGTTAACTTCTTTCATGTCCTGTTTGTTGAATAACAAATAAAATGAAACATGACACTAGCAAGTGTCAACAAACATTTAAGCCACTACTTCCAACACATGCAAAAGATAATAGGGACAATGACATTTGTAAATGGCAACATAGTCTGCTTATATTTCTGAGATGTACTGCTGGGCCCAATTCCACAAGCAATCATAGCACTTTGACTATCGTAATGCTAGAGTGTCGCCTTGACCCTAGAGAATAAACTAAATTCCGACTTAATAAAAGTAACAAACTCTTTCCATATTAAATAGAAATCTCTTGATTTGAGTCGATTGTACGATTCCGACTATATAATGAACATGTGTTTATGAATCACTATCAAATACTGATGATGAAAAGATGAGCATAGCCTCCAATACCGATGGTAAACATAACAAACACATGCAAAGGCAAGTCAATTGTTGACCTGAAAAGACATGGGAACACATGGTACAAGTTAAACTAGGGAATTGCATCAGACTTTTATTAGTGTCACTGATGTGTCAAATTTGGAAATGTCCTCCATATGTTCACCATGGAACCTTCTACTTGCCTAAATGTCTTGACCCCAAATTATACACAGATGTAAAGCCTAGAATGATTATTAAAGTCTCAGCTCTTGGAAATTATTAAGCATTTATCTGGGCTCCATTTGGACTATAATTTTTATTTTGTAGACATATATTTTTAAACATGATAACTTTACTTCTGGGACAAAATGTGAGTCTATTGTAACTCCTATACTTAACACAGACTTATGACAATTACGACGATCAGTTTGTGAAACAGGGCCCTTTGCATGTGTTTGTGACAGGTGCCACCGGTGGGGCAGGATACGCTTACCTTTTCGCGAACACCCAGTATCATTAACATTAACACAGGTTCAGGATATAGTCGGAATCGTACAATCGAATCTGCTTTTGGCAGAGATTTCTTATGAATGTTGAAAGGGTTTTGTCGCTTTTATCTACAGTTCAACTTGTTGTTTCCTCAATGACCGTATCTCAGATGTATACTCACAAGATGGCAACCCCAACTTGAGGAATATCTGGGGTACTTGTCATCTAAATTTAGTAGCGTTTAACAAAATTTGTAATCATTATTAGAATCTCTGACTGTATGTTCTGGACGAAAATTTATCATCTTTCACCTTATATTTTATCACCCACAATCTGTAAACCTTCCCATCACAAGCTAAAACCATTTATTGATTATTAATTGGATGTATATATGACATTGACTTTTATGATGGTTACAGGCAACATTTTTTGGGAAAAAGATTGTAAAATATTTCACTTGACCATATTGGTGGAAGTATGTTCTTAATATCATAACTGTCCTGCCAAATTCAAATTGGTTGGCATTTCTGTATATTTTGAAAAGTTATGCACAAGAATATGAACCTGACCCAGCATTAACACAAACATTACAAATTTGATGTCCTTGAAAAATGATTATGTTTGATCGAATATGACATTGGTACAGAACAATGTTTTTTTAAATGTTTGTACATTTCAAACAGCTATGCCATTGAACATGAAATTGAAACTTCTTTTATTTTAGAAAAACCTCAGACTATTTTTACTCTTTAAGTATACTTATCTGATATTTATTGTTTGTATAATGCAACATCATTAGTTATTTGAGCAAATACTACAAGTTAGCAAGCACATTATATTTTATTGTCAAACCCCTGTATTTCAAAGATATTTATCTCACAAGCACTTTCTTTACATATATGCTGTTTCATGCAATTCAAGAAATGTCAGATGCTGATTTAATTTATTTATCACACAGTGAACAATAAAATTCACAATTCATTTTCTTTTCAACAACCCCCCCCCCCCCCCCTCCCCCAACAATTTAGATAATATACATAAAATAAAAAATTAATTATAAAATTATAATGTTCATTTGACAATTATTGTAACAACATTTGACATTCATTGTAACAACTTAGAGTAAAAAATGAAAGACTGAAACCATCAATGCTATCAACAATGTATAAGGATTTGAATGTTTCTTATATAATCACACCAATTTCAACCAGACATTATAAATCTCGTGGGTTGCAAAAAAACACCAACACAAATTATTTTAACTACACTCAAAAAGGCATAAGTGGTGATATCCAGGACCTGTATTAACATGATTTAGAGTACATCCATTAAACTTTAAAAAAGAGAAAATCAAACAGATTTTAGAAATATGTACCTATCTTTGAAATAGTTAATCTAATCTAAATGTCCAAATGATAAAAGAAGGAAATAAGTGTCAACAGTGCATCTTTTTGTGCTGGGTGCTTGTGAGCTAACATGCACAATGAGAAAATCCTTCACAGTATTCTCAGTTTTGCTATGAATTCTTATTAATAATATTTAACTTTACAAAATATTTTAACCACACATGAAAACACATTTATCTCTTCTATTATCATTGTACCATTTTTCCGCAAATCAATAAAAAATGACCATTTACAATTTTCCCTCAATTTTTATCGTGCTGCTACTTTTCATGGATGACCTCATACAGCGCTATGATGTCAGGCAACGAGGTAACAAGTACTAACAACTCAGTTACGTCAAAGTTTAAATGATGTTGAGGCACTACTCCCATTCAGCTGTATAATTCCTGTTTGTTAAATACATAATGCTGCATCTGTGATAATTTGACTTTTCTTATTAGACTCTGGACATCAAAGCTTCATATCCGCCATAGATTGATTTACATTATGTCATTAGAACATTCCTGTACAGAACAGTTTGAGTTGTGCACTGATAACAAAATCATACATGCAGATATTCTTTAAATACATTTCAACTTTCGAACAGCGCAAAACATTAATTCTTGAGTGAACTTTGGAAAGATCTTTCAATCAGAAGTTATAATTGTGTTTTGAAAAATCAGATTGATGAATCCGAATTGAGTATTGTCCAAATTCATGCTGGAGTGAAGACGTGACAATTTCAGCTGCAGTGTATGGTGAACCCTTAACATAAGGGCAGGCTTTCAATACATCTTCTTCTAATGGTGATATGATGTCCCCACAAATTCTTTACCCTTGTCTTCCAACAAATTCAAAATCCTGATTTGAACGATTGCTTCTTTCATCCGCAGCATCATAAACTTTGCGTTTTAGTTCAGCATTTTTTCTTATCCTAATTCATCTCCACTTTGTCCTGGAGCACAGTCATCTGTTAAAGTGTGCAAGTTGTTGATGATTTCAGATGGAAATCTGTCTGACATCAGTTGCCTGTTGGTCGTGACCTTTACATGACCTTGTTAGTATCGAACAAATCATTCGGCTATCATTTATCAGGACCTGGCCAATGGCTTTGACCAGTGGAATTGACCAGTTGGTACTTAAACTCTAAAGAATCTCCAACCACAGTTCATGGCTCTCAATGAAGGCACAAATGATGATAGTATTGGGAATCACTTAAAAAATAAGAATCAATCATCACTATTGATTTGAGGCAATGATAGACAAATGTTCGACCTCAGTTTTAGTATGCTGCTGTTTCTGAGATATGAGATATTGACATCAATAGAAGACCCCTGAGTGATTAATTGATCTTGGAGGTAAAGAGACTAATGTATTAAATGGAATAACAAAATTATCAAATTATTCAAAGTAATGCTAGAAGTATGTACAACTTAATATACATGGTTCTAGGTGGTTGAAGAACTCACGATGCAAGACAATTAGCACACATTGCTCACTAGTCATTTCATCCATGTGAAAAATGACAAATAAGGGTCACTGACGGAACGTGAATCTGCACCTGTGTATACAGAGTTATTTTTAACTTCGCACTGCAATCATATTCTATACCTTTCAGAATATACACCTGTTTCTTACATTTTGCTGACTTTTCCATGAGATGCACATGGTTTTCACATTTTTCACATAGAAATACATTTTTGTTAATTTACTAAATGTGTTTGACGTTTAACAAGATTCTGGAGAGCATTTGATATTTCATTCTTCCACAACCATGTTATAACTCTCAATTGTCATCTTATTCAACAATGTAATAAAACTTTAAATGTTTTCATGAAAAATTGTTTCTTTTTTATGCGAAGATAAAAAAGTCAAAAATGGTTGAAATGTTAAAAACAGTTAGAACTGAAGCAGCCTCAAATACACAAACTTCTACATCCAAGCACAAAGCCATGACAATGACGCTAGCATGGAAAAATAGTTACTGGGTTATTACAATTCTCATGCTTAAACTGTCAATCATCTTTGGCACTGCTCAATATTGGCACTTTAATGTCCGAACCTTCAGAATTGCCATTTTCATTTCATGCAAAACAAAGTCGACTTGGATTGGAAAAAATTGAAATTGGAATGTAACACGTTCACGTCTTCATTAAATGTGTCCCATGATGGCCAGGAATCCGAACCATAGCTTCCCAGGTACAATGTCGACACAAGCATGTTAGAACTGATTGTGTGCTAAACTCAAGAAATGGTCATCCACAACAAAATGGCTTAAAGCTGAGCAAACCTTGATCTGATTTGGTATTGGTTGGTTTCAGAAGATCCCCTGGGACAAAAATACAAGGTCGTCTCTCAAAGATATACACCAAAAAAGCAAAAACAAATTGAGTGATTTTTTGTATGTGATTTAATCAATTGATACTTGCTGAGAGAATGAATATTGCTTAACGCTGCATTTACAAGTTTTCTGCTATTCATGAAAACGTCTCCCTAATGGATTCCATGAGTTGAAGCTGGATTCATAGGTTAACATAACAAATAGAACTTTTTATAACTACCCTAAAAAAAAACATTCCACATAAAGAACCTTAAAAACTATTTCCTGAAATAAAGTAATTGTAATTGTCTCCAAAATTCAAGTATTCCTGTCACCTTACCCTCAAATTATCCAATTGCCACTGATTGCACAATCAAGACATTTAACAGTATTCATGAATGTAACTTTCTAAGGATACACTCAAATCCCAAATCAAGGTTAAATCAATCCCAGATAAGGCATAAAAATGATCAAATATTACGAAATTGCATTTATCAGAAGCGGGGTGATTAAATTTTGCATGCAGGCAGAATATCTTCAGATTCTTGAGAATCAGGACACGGTAATAGCTGTAAATTATAGTCAAAATAGACTCTGGTGATTTGTCTCCACTTCCTGACATGCTCACAGCTACGTTGAGACAGGAAGCCGGTATGGGACTAGTGGGATAAACTGGGGATAACAATTCATCACTACTGCCAGGGAACATGGCCCCTCGAGCTCTCAGATAATAGACAGGAACTTATGTTATTTGGGGAAAGATAGCCAGTAGACCATAATTGCTCAATCAGGTGAATAATTTGAGCTTATTCAGGATACTATGACCTAGCTTACAGGTCACCTGTCTTGGGGGTTCTTCCATACAGACAATTTGGGTCATTTCTCAGTGGAACGTTGATCATATTGTTTATGTTGTCATCAAAGAGTGCATAAAGTGGATGTGGTGAAACATTTTTTTAAGAAATGCCGAATGCTGTGTTTGGTGTTAAAGCCAAACTAAGCAATATTCAAACTCTATGATGGCAACCTGTCAATAATCGAGTCGGAGACAATTTAGTGATTGATATTGTGAGCAATGATCTATGACGTTGGGGTACGATGACACGCCATCAACCAAGTCACTGTGTGTGACCACCCGATCCATGAAGTTGCCAAATACGACGTTGGGTATAAAGCAATGCCATGTTGTGTAATTGTCTTGACGGTGTGGTTTCGAGATAATGGCATCCGGATTGAGGAACCAATTACTAAATATTCTAGTGGGAGGGGATTCTAGCTAGGACTTACGTTTTATTTACACATTTTTTCAGGACACCCGGCATTATCCCAGCTATATTATGGCAACGCATAAATAATCAAGTCAGGACCAGACAATCCAGTGATTGGCATCATGAGCATCAATCTACATAATTGGGATACAATGACATGCATCAAGTCTTGACAACTCAGCGAGCCTGACCACCTGGTCCTGCTTGTTGCCATTTTATAAGTATGCCATGGGTTGATGAAGATCAAGCAACCCAGATCTTCCCTTGGATCTGACAAAGTAAAGTGCATCATAAGATGTTGATACAATTTTTATTTGGATGAATAGTTTAAACACTGAATTGATTTCAAATAAACTTCTAATCTAACAGGTCAATCACATTTTGTCCCATAAGAATTTCAAATGACCAACCATTTCATTCAGTTTATCTGTAAGGACTACTGACAAAGGAAGTAGCAATTTGATGTTATAAATGACCTAGTAGACTAAAATCTAGTCTCTGAAATGAACATATCGTACATAAAAAAACAGTTGGTCAGTTATCTTAATAAAAATATAAATAAAAAGGAGCCCAGTGACTCTCTTCATTTTCAGATACTGCAGTGATCTAGACTTGCCAAACATTATAGACTTGCATGGGCTATATTTGATATATATTTGTATCAGGGTCTGTAAGACAGACTAATGACCTAGATTTGGCGGTACTTCCAACACAACAGCAGCTCTAGCCGAGTTACCAAAGCACTATGGTCAATGCACATGATGCATGCATAAATCACATACAATACATTTGCACAACCACAGACCAAGGTCAGGAAAGTTGGATATCATTTGGCTTGGACATTGAAGGCTACTTCAAGAAGCTCTTTGTTTCCATGCAAAAGACTAGAAGCTAGAGGTATGGTCTGCGCAATACAAGAGGTATGGTCTGCGCAATACAAGAGGTATGGTCTGCGCAATACAAGAGGTATAGTCTGTGACATACAAGAGGTATGGTCTGTGTCATACAAGAGTTATGGACTGTGACATACAAGAGGTATGGT